ATTTGACCACCATGGCTGGTGTGCCCCATTCAGATGTGATGGCACTTTCAGGTCTGTCAGATCCTCTCAAGTCCATGAGATTTGATGAGTGATCTGAGTAAATGATCGCTAAGTTGTTCATGTTATGGCACTCACATACAGTAGATCTGTGTTTCCCCAATGTATTAAGCAGAACAGTGCTTATTAATGTCAGGAGCATGGTTCATAAAAACCTCTGTAGTAGAAACATTAGTTGGCATAATATGTTGTAGAAGTTCTTGTTGTTCACTCTTTAACACATCAACATCTTTATGAACGGTTGGTGAATGTTACCTAAATCTATAAGGTTTCCTCTAGTTTTATCGGGTTAGCACATTGAGGGATGTAACATTTGACTCTATGTATAAGTTGTAAGAAAACCCAGTGGCTGTACAATGTTACATGTAGTGTTGAAAGTTGCCATGTTGTTTTCTCTGCTATCAGAAATATCACATATGCTAACTCAGCAGTACGGAATACGCCTGTTGTTATATAGCTTTTTAACAAATCATTGTATGTGTAATTGATGTAAATTCAGATGTTACACTGTAAAATGAAAGAATTTGTGTAAAAATTACCTTTGTTTTAGTTTTTAAATAAAAAAATAAGCAAAAAGCTTAATAGGCAGCCATGATATATTTATTTGTAGTTTTCACTGTGCCAGAAGTGATGCTGATCATTCTGACATGATGCCAGAAGATAAAATAATTGTACCTGTTAGAATAATAATGAGAAATTAGAAGTCCTTTCCTCAGTTTTCTCCTTAATACATGTACATGTGGCTGCATACATATGTACTTACAGTACATAACCTACAAAATGTCATCTGTGCGTCAGTCTTAGTGTTTAGTGGCCTTTGTGTCTGGTTCCATGATGTTATACAGCCAGTATTAATAAACATGTACAAGTGCCAGGAATTACCCACAGGCCGACTGCCAACTGGCTTCCTTTTGAGTGTGTCATAATTTTTTGTATGTATCCTGCTGATGTGTGGAGGTCATACTGATTGATGATGACTAATGTGGTGTGCCCATCCAACACTCTACTTACTGCTGCCGCAGCCACTCCTTCTTTGATGAACTGATGACAGGAATAAAGAAGTGAGAAAAAAAAGCCCAGGTCACTTTATCTCCTGCTGTCTGTCAACATAAATCTTAATTCAAATCAGCTCACATCAAAATGAGGCCCTCCAGTTCAGCTTGGAAATTTGCATGAAAGAACAACACTGTCAGAGTACTAAGGCACGCAGTCCCTCTTGTGATTGTTTTTCTCTCTCCTGGTTGTCATCACTCTCTCCCACTTGGGATCCTCCTGCTCCAGACCAGCGCCCGAAGCTCTTCTCCCTACGCCCCCTGGAGCTCTGGAAGCGGCCGGACCAGCAGACGTTCCAGCTGGAACAGCCTGGGTCGCGCCTCATCGCTCAAACGCCAGAAGCAGCCGTGTGGGGAGCGACGGTCGCTCCTCTCTGGGGAGGGCAGCTCCAGCTCAGAAGATGGGGAAGGTGGAGGAGATGGAGGAGATGGAGGTGGCGGTTTGATGGAGGAAGACGCCGCCTCCCTGGCTAGGACAGATTCAATGTCCCAGCCACAGAGAGGGCCACAGCACAGGAGGATGGAGTCAGTGGAGACTCGTAGCTCCTTAGATTTGCCACCTGATGCTCTGCTACAGGTAGGCCCCCTGCACCAACCATGATTTTGTACCACTGACTAATCTCTAGGGCATTGCTGAGAGTATGACACATCATTTGGAAAGCAATTGAAGTAACAGTTGGTTTGATTAATACCAAAAGCTACACAGACTCAATGTCTTAGTCACTTGACAGCAGTGGCCTTTAGTGATCATCTTAAAATTATATTATCAATTTTTATGGCACTCTTCATTGTTGCCTATACTCAGATGTTCTTCATGTCATAGGCCCTCTGTTAGCAGTAAATGGCACACTACACCCAATTTGCAACACGTAGCAGTGTGGGAACACACACAACAACTTGAGAACTTTTTTCAATCACATATTACAAACTAAAGTCAAATGAAAACAGCTTGTTTGTATGAAAATTTGCATTCACTCAGCTCCCAGGGCACAGTGGAACCCTGCTATTTGTCAAAATGAGAAATTGATTTATGGCACGAAACATCTTCCAGCATAATGCACCACTTTGAGTGCTGTCTTTAAAAAGCCAGTGAAAAGGAGAAAAGAACCAGAGGTTGCAAAGTGTTTATCAAATGTGTAAAGTTAGGCTATAACATTTGCATTTGTTAATGTGTAGTACTGCATGGGTTCTCCTTCTTCCCTATGTAGGTTCCCTACCTGCACTGTTCAGCCAGCATGCACAGCTCCAGACCCCCCTCACTGGGTCACTTACGGCCCTTAGAATACAGTGACTGCAATGGAAAAGGCTGTCCGTCAGCCCTGGGTCCCACACACGTCTCCCTGGAAGACAACACTGAAGACGAAAATGCAGAGGAGGACGCCAACCTGGTCAGTCTGTGTGTGTGTGCGTGCACCTGTGTGTACATACTATATGGACCTGTTCATTTGTTTCTATCTGTATTAACAAAAATCTCTCTCGAGGTAGATCCTCCATAGTAAGTACATGTTGGTAGAAGCGGTTATTAAAGGTTGGTTGAATTGATGTCAGAAGGACTCTGTCAATATACTGGGGCAAGAAACAGTGCTGTGTATGAACCCTCTGGAATGACCTGGTTTTCTGCATCAAATTGGACATAAATGATGATCTCATCTTTACCTAAGTCACATGTGTAAACAAACACAATGTTCTTAAGCTAACAACACACAAACAATTATAATCTTCATGTCTTTATTGAACAATGTCCATTAAACATTTACTGTGCTGGGGGGAAAAGTATGGATTTAATAACTGGTTGAAGCTCCTTTGGCTGCATTAACCTCAAAACAAGTGCTTCAAGTAGCTGTGGGTCAGACATGTCCGACATTCAGGAGGAATTTTGGACCATTTTTTCCTCACAGAGCTGCGGCTCAGGCATATTCTCAGGATATGTGGTGTGAACAACTGTCTGAGCTCATTCCATAGCATCTCTAGTGGGCTCTTTGGATTTTATTTGTTTGAAGTCCTTCTTGTAGATTTACTTCAACATTTAGGGTCATTGCATTGTTGCATCAGCCAGTTTGCACTGAGCTTTTGCTGGGAGACAGCCACACTGACATTATCCTGTAAGATACTTGGATAAGCATGGGAATTCATTTTCTCCTCGATGACAGCAGCTGTCCAGGCCCAGCACAGCACAGCAGGCAGCTCAGCAGCCCCGAATCATGAAACCTCACAGCTGGGATAATGTTTTCATGTTGGTCTGAAGTACTCTTTTTACACCATACACACTACGCAGTGCTGCGTGTTCTTCCCAGATAGTTTCATCAGCCCATAAAATGTGTTCTCAGAAGCACTGTGGTGTGTCAAGGTGCTCTTTAACAAACCTCAGGTATGCAGTGGTGTTTTTGGAGAGCAGCAGGTTCCTCTGTGGTGTCCTGCCACGGTCTCCATGTTCCTTGTAGCCACGCACCATGATTTATGTGTTGTTGGCTCATGAACAGAGATGCTGACCAGCTCCTTTGGAGTCAACTTTTGATCATATCAGTCATAGTAGCTCCAACCCACACCTCCAATCTGGGTTCATTGACTGGTTTGTTAACTCCTGACTCCTATTAGTTTTTGTTGTCATTAGTCTGGGAGTGCACTTGCTGTTTCTACCCTACACTGTGAATCCTTGAATTATGTATACAATACAGACAATAACAATACAGTGACAAGATAATATGCAAAACATGAATTATACTCATGTTTACCTACTGATACTTTTTTGTCAGTGGTTATACTGATATTCTAAAAATGAATGGGGGAAGAAGGCAGTTTTCTCTTGTACCTCTCCAAATAAATGTTATTTTTAATTTTAGGGGCATGTGTATGCTTATCTGTGCTATGCTTATCTGCATATTGTATTATCCAAAAAATATATTCTTTCAATGGGCCTTGTTTGATTCATACTAATCAAACAGTGTAAGAATGAATACATTCAAAAGCTTCTTTCTGTAGGGAATGATTGTGGCTCATAATATGCAACAAGAAGTTGTGTACATATGAATAATGAATGAACTGTGTACTCCTTACTCCCTGCAGGGACGTTTTGCCAGACTGTTCCGCTGGCTGGAGAAGAAGCAGCCAGAGTGGTGTCGACAAAGAGACACCTGGTCGCTGTACCTCTTCCCTCCAGACTCCAGGTATGATTCACGTCTGCATTTCTCTTCATAACTCTACATCTTTGCCCAGGTCTCATTTTTGCTGTTTTTTTTTAGGGAGTGTATATATAAATATATATGGAAGTTCTGGCTACACAGCACTGTTGTTTCCAAAAGGAAAACACTTGTAAACTCCTTCTTCCTGTGACAGTTAAGATAAATTGAGTTGTGTCTTTAAAAATAAAATGAAATATTAAAAATAAGCAGCTACTAACCTCTCTTTAAATCATTTTTTGTTATCAGTGTACAGGGAAAGACTGAGCCTTCATTCTTGACAAGAAATGAATTCTTAATATTGCATTTAGCTGACTGTAATGACAAACTCTCTTTCACTGTGATGTGAGTGCAGCTTTCCCCTCCCTACCAAAATGACCTATTTATGACCTATTACCTCCCATATTCTCACTGTACAAGTCTTTTATCTGAACATTTCTGCTGTGTCAGGGGTGAGTAAGCAGGAGCAGAGGGAGAAAGGGAGTTTCTCCTACCCAGTGCTGCATTTTATCTCAGCCACGTGCTAAATCCATTGCTTCCATTCCCTCGCTCCGTCTTCTGTCACTCCTCCCGTTGTAGGGCTTTGATCTGTACCTTTCTGCTGTCTGTTTGGAGGATATGGCTGTGAAGGCAACGCTCAGCAACGCGCTGGCCCCGGCCTGCCACCGCAGCACCATGACATGCTAATTAAACATCAAACAACAAACCTTCCACCCACCTAATGGGAATTTCAAGGATGAGGCCAGTCATTTTCTGCATCAACAGTATTTAAAGTAGCAGTTTTGTGATGAGGAAACATGTCAGCCACTGCAGCGGTGTACTGTATTTTTCTGATGTGGTTCTAATCAGTTTTGAACAACAATGGAGGTCTTTGGCATGGAGGAAAAAGCTGACCTAGGACTGACAGATTGACAGACATTACTTGTGAATAGAGGCAATTAATTGTTGGTTTTACTTTCTGTAGGCCTGTGGAGAGTAGCTACTGTATAAAACTCCTGTAGCTACTGTATAAAAAATGACCAACCTTATCCTTTTAATGTTAGCTGACACCAGAGTTGTGGCATGTAATGACTCTCATATGCAATATAATTATAATCCCCATCATCAGAATTAGTTTCACAAAAGATCTGACAGCAACACAGAAAGTATTAAAGTCTATTAAAATAAAATTACAAAACTATCAAGAAATCAGTACATATATCCCTGGTGTATGTTTTGACTTGTGTGCTTGTTTCATAATCTGACTTTTGCAACAAGAGACTATAAGCTATTATTTCTGTGTAGCTTCTTCCGGTTCTTTCAAACCAGGAACTCTCAATGAGACGAAAGAGACTGCTTTAGATTTTATAAAAAATAACCGTGCTGGTTTATTCAGAGGATCACAGGTAAAATTCACAGGACACGTCCAGAGCTCTCTCACCCCTCTACCTGCGCGCAGGCAGCAGAAAGCTGAGAAAGTCTGGACCCAACAACCTATATAATATTAATCATTTTTGGGCTAGCCCATGCTACAAGGGGCGTCAAACCGTGACGCCACCCGATAAGCAAGCTTTGCAGCTGCTCTATCGTTTAGCCAAAACATGAGGAAAAGTCAAGGTGCGTGACTGTTGTTTTCGTGGTGTGTATCTAAACAATTGGACATAACCTTACACATTAAGACAAATATTAAGACTAACATTACAGTTTGACCCTAAAAGCTCTTTTCCTGTAACCTTGGCGTGCCTGCAGTCCTCACTGCAGGCTGAATAGTTACAGCAAAGCTAGTCACCCTGTCTGCACTAAACATTCCTAGACAACAAATCTCTATCCACATCTATCTAATTAAGAAATAACCTAACAAGACTAAAAATGGAAGCTGACACCCAAGGTGACTGCTAATGTTGTCGATGTCTTCTGAAGCTAAGATGCTCTTTTATATGGCCAAAACAGTTTTATCCTCGTTTTATAAAATGGGGAATTATGTACAAAGCTGCAGAACCAATATAGTTCATATTTCACTAAACTGGGGAGGATTTACCTTTCAGTTTGACTTTAATTGTAAAATTATTGGAATGTAGCCACAATCTGCAGTTTATCAGTATGAACGTCGTACCTGTTGTTTTGCATTAAAGGTGTACAGTGTGCCTTTTCAAAAGTTCTCTTCTCTGCTGGACATATTATATAATTTGGAAAAGGTTAATAGGAAGAACTCCCTGTAGTCTGTTATTATCAAAGTATTAAGAAACCTGAAGGAGTTTGGCTCAAACCAGGCTTCTAGTTGGCTTTCAGTCACAGCAGGCAGCAAGGTTTGGCCATGGCTGAGTGTGACACCAAGGACATAGACTCTGCATGGTGCCCACTCTGGCCTTGAACCATGACGGACACCCGCCTGTGCTCACAATCACATCAAGAACAGCAGCGCAGCAGGAGACCGGAGTCCAGCGTCTTTCACATGGACCTGAGTTCACCTCAACGTGCCGTTATGCCTGCTGTTGTTACCGCTGCTGATTGCTGCAGAGAAAGTTTTTAATGAGCAGAGGAGTGGGTCGGCTATGTAGGCATATTGTTATGCAGTCACTACGATTAGACGAGCTTTCCACAAGAATGGGCTGTGTAAGAATAGTGGTCTATCCACATGGGTACCCGGGGTGTGCAGGGCTCCCTCAGGGTTGTGCATGTGGTCCTCTGTCTAACGTTGGATTATGTGGAATTGGACTGAACTTTGTGGGGGAAGTGGGTCACCTGAGCAGCTATGATAATAAGATGCAGATAAGAATGGGAGAGCCAGCAGGGAGGACATTTCAGAATTACAGTAGAGAGTGAAAGTAATGATCTGTGGCATTTTTATGTCGAAACTTTAAGTGTTGGTACTTTGCACTGCCAAGTGATATAATATAAAGTAACAACTGTTCTCTGCATCTGTCAGCTCTTTCCTCGGAAGCAATCATCCAACACACAGGAAATGATGCAGTTTATGTCTGAGGTTTGTTTGGAATGAACACAGTAAGAACTGAATAATCAGCACAAAAGGCTCTCATCTTTTTAAGCCATGCTCAAAGCAGCAAAGCAGAGCAGCAGCACTGACAGAAACTCAAACTTCTTCAGCAAAAAAATCCAAGATGTCAGACTGCCACTGGCGGGAGGTGAGTTCAGGGATGAACACAAACACCACAGAGATGTTCAAAGAATGAAGATGAAGAAATGATAAATGAGGTGAATTTGCTCAAATCAGCAAACATAACGGTCACTGTCAGAGTGCACAGATTTACAGCTTTGGTCAAACTTTATGACACTTGAAAAGTAACTGATCAGTTTTTAATTCAGTGTCAGCTGTCACGTTAGAAGCATTTGAAGTATCATCAGAGGGTAAATCATCAAAAAATTGTCTAAATCCTTTTATCAACATTCATCTGTCAAGATGTCAGTGATTTTTTTTTCAATCCCAGCTTTGGGAGAAAGGGCTATTTTTGTTTTTTTGCTTCAATGATTTTTTAAAATGGTTTTAGTTTGAATGTTTGAGAGTCTTGGGAGCCAGTTGAACGCAACATTAAAGCTCCGAGCCAGACCTTGGCCCTTTAAACCATGCAGAATGAGTTGACACTAGAGGCGTGTTTGCTATGTGTCCTCCCTCCCCTCCTCATCAAAGCTCTGGTGTGCAGACATCAAAGAAGAATTAGCTTTACAGTCTGTGTACTGTGTGAATAAAAATCACCACAGTGAGATAAAACACACTCACACATGCACACAGACTCAGCAAGTCTTGACACAATGATGTCTTTATAGCCAAAAATCCAAATCGTAGCCTCATAAAAATCACCCCCTGCTGTACACTGATATGAGCAATCAAAACATGGTGATGCACGGTTTGATCCTTCCCCTGTCATACAGTATATAACAAGCGTTCCCTCTTTTTTCTCTCTCTCTCTGTTGTCATTCATGTTGGGTAATGAAAGTCAGGCTTAATTAATGAGTTATAACTCTACAGCGGTTCATTACAGCATTGCTGTGTGAGACAAGCTTTTTGTTTAAATTTAGATCATTACTTGTATACTGTGCACACCGTTTCAGAAAATATTCATGTACAGTATGTAAAATGTAATATTATCCAGAACATGGTCTAGATAGGCATTTGTTTATGTTTGAGTGTTTCCACTCAACTACAATTCAGTGGGGAATATGTTTTACTCCACTAACTATCTGGCAACTTTAGTTACTGTGTAGGGTACTTTGCAGATTAAACTACCCAACACTCTAACATAGGTTAAATTAGCTCCATCATGACCAGCACTCAGGGCATTTTTGCATTATCCTTTCCAGATATATATGCAGATACATATGAAAGTACATCTGCAGTACTCCCATAATATTACTGATGTATAAATACGTAAAAACCTTTCAGTTTTCAAAAACTTTAATGCTTTGACACAAGCTTGTCTTCTGCTTCACTTTTTGTTTGCTTCATGTTTGTAGTTGTGTTTTATCTCTATATCCTACTCATGTATTAAGTACCTTCCACTGAATTTTGGATAGTGAAACACCAAGCAAGGGGATGTTTGTTCCCAGAGTTGGTGCTTAAGCGCCGAGAAACATCAAGCTGACATGAAAAAAACTACCAGCGACAAAGACAGACTGTTACATTGCCTCGCGTTGCGTTTATCTGGGCCAGTCAAGTTGAAAAAGGGACACTGGAACACAGAGCACAGACAACAGCCATTGACCAACTAGTACATACTGTATATTCTGTGCCTGCATGACAGCAATAACTCTCTCTACCAGCAGGTGGCAGCATCTGTATTTGCCATTCAGAAAGGGAAAGAAGAAGAAGAGCTAAACAGTGGAAATACAAGTGTAAACAAACCAGCTCTTGTTCAGCCCAGCTGCTGTTTATTGCTGCTTCTAGTCAAGAATATGTCTGTTAAGAAGTTACAAATGACACTGTCGTTCTCTGCCCTTGGTGTTTTGGTTGTGGAAGAAGAAAGGACAAACCACACTAAATGTGTGAAATCATGGATGGTACAGCGACAGGCTGAAGGGGGCTTCCTGAAGCATTCTTTTCTCCTGCATTGATTCACTAAGCTCAACGGCCAATCAGCGTGGTCTCTGTCACCAACAAAGCCCAACCGCCAATGCCAATTCAACATATCAAATTGATTGAAAGGCCAACAGGGTCCAACTAGTGGCAATGGTGCAGGACACACTAGGTATAAGCTCTGACAGACGAATTATGAATTTTAATGTAACGAATTATTACATTAAAATATATTGTGTTAGTTTGGTACAGGAGTGATTTCTGATCTGATGCCCCTTGTCAGCAGGATGAAGCTTTCATTGCTGTGGTTACAAATTTAAAAACTTGGTTAAAGTTGAAGAACAGTGGAGATCATGCTTGAAACAACACTGACTCCCCAGAAGGAATAAGATAAAGAAGTTATCAGAGGGTTTTTCATATTTGCACCAAAACACACACTTGTTGATTCACTCGTTTGGGTTCAATGGCATAACACACTGTACATCAAGCCCATTTCCAGTGTCACTGAAGTTTCAGGATTTCTGTGTTTTTTTGTCAGGTTTCGAATCCTGTGCAACAAGATCATCAACCACAAGATGTTTGACCATGTGGTGTTGGTCATCATCTTCCTCAACTGCATCACTATTGCCATGGAAAGGCCTCACATCAACCCCACCAGTGCCGTGAGTCTCAAACACAACCACTAACTCTTCTCCCTGTAAAGTCAGTGTCTGTCAAATTTTACAGCGTCAGCGTGACGCCTTCATAGTCTTCAATGACAAGCACAGAATAAAGCACAGAAAGAAAGTAAGAAAAGGAGAAAACAGGCTGAAAGAAATAGATGGGCAAAGAAACATACACTATATTTATGTATATATAGATACAGAAATTTTGCAGTTTGTGTAGAGTAGAGAAACTCGCTGTCACCTCAAATGCGTCTAACCAGAAATGGAGGAAAAAGGGAGAACGAACTTGTCAGCAAGTCCAACCGTGATGGCTGTTCAAACAAACACACACACACACACACACACACACACATATATATTTCCATTGAGAAATGGAGTGTGTAAGCAAGGAAGTGCTGCTGTTTGATTGTGAGCCAGTCGCTGTGGGTAATGTGTGCTATACTCTTGCATCTACCGTGCTGCATCATCAACACCACCACCTCCTTAGCTAACGCACCATCCCTTCAAAGAGTAGAGGGCTGGAAGGCATCCAACATACACACACACTCACCTAACTCCATGTTCTGTCCTTGTCTACTTCCAGCAGCTGCAGCAGAACACAGCCCAGCCGTTCCCTGCATAGACACAATAATTATCAGTGTTTGCATTGTTTTCTTTTTGAGCTAGGTGCTTTGTGGATGGCCCTAATCGCTGTTTGGTCTCTCTGGAACACTTTGTTCTGCTTGTTTTACGACTGAAACACAGAGGAGATGGTGGTGTTGTAATTGATTTAATTATCTGTGGGCTGGTGTCCACAGCTAATGTCCAGGAAAGGAGATGTTTAACAAATGGAGGTCACCACACAGACTGCCTGCTCTCATCGGGACAGAGAGATCACACACATACTTGTAGGATGATGCCTACTCTCTCACCTCTGCACACACACACACAGATGGTGACAAATTAGAAGAAAAAACCTGAATGTTTAACCCCTGCAGTGACAGGTGCACGTCTATTTACCACATGTCCCCTTAAAGAGAAGGGTCACTGCAAATCAAGTTGTTCTGAGTGATCACCTTTATCTGGTGGTGAAACATTTCTATGAATGGGAGTGGTCTCTTCCAGGATAACAGTGCCCCCATCAATAAGGCACAAGGGGTCATTGAATGTGAATTATCTGCTATGGCTTTCACAGTCATCAATGGCAAGGTTAGTAGTATGTGGTGGCCCAGCACCTCACTAAGACATATTATGTTGCCTGTCCTTTAATTTGTCACCAATTTGTATGTACAGTATATGCAACACACCCATAATACATGAAATCCACCACAGCAGCTGCTCGAACATTAAGATCAGAGAGCAGTATTTTCAAATGTACTTATCTTTTGTCAGCTTCCTGCCATGGCCACCATGTCCAGCCTGCGTCCGGAGGCCATTATTGAAATGAGATGGAAATGTGTGACGCAGCAAGCAGCTAGAAACAAGAGAATGAGCAGCCATTAGCATTTTAAGCTGTAATGCTTATTGCTCCAGGAAGATTTGTTTGTCTGTGTGGGTTGTTATAAATTAATAAATCTGATTATGAATCGATTTCCACTCACTGCTTATATAACTACCAAGCATACTGTATAATCTATCACTCTGTCCTACTCTTTGGACTTCACATCACCCATGATTCCAGCCTGACTAGTGACACGTAATATTCTCTAAATAGACATGCTGTCACTGTTACAGAGATAAGGTGTTTGAGTCCTAGCATTTTAACTTGGAATGCAGGCTAAATAATTAGTTTATTGTCCAGGAAGTTATGTCACACACTTTGTATTTGGCTTGTAGTCCGTTGCTGTTTTGGTTTGGCACTGAAGGTTGCCTGGATACTGTCTTCCTGTGGCTTGGTGGAAATGATTCAGGATGATTATACCACCTATTATGATTTATTATTTCTAATTTAGCTAGGGGACAATACATCTCTGTCTAGAGCTCTGGAGTGAGTTACTGTATATCATAATCAACAATATATAACACAGACTGGGTTTTCAGCTACTATGTCATCTGCTCTAGGCAACATTAAAATGGAGAAATGGAGCTACAGAGGCGACTGTGATGAAAGCTTTCCAGGGGCTGTGGTTTGGCTCTTGTCTTCTGTTGCTCAGGAATTTCGGAATGATTTGTAATTGCATCATTAAAAGCTTCATAATGTAAGATTTTCTTGTAATAATGCATTTTTGTTCAGTGATCTACTAATATGCTGCTGTCATTATACAGTTGTGTTCCTTTTTAAGTTAGGACTCACACTGAATCTGTCAGGCATCTGGGGCTTTCACTGTGGAGCGTTTCCACTCCATGTAAATTACCTACTGGAAGTGCCTCTTGGTTTAAGTCATAGCTGGCCTCTGTCATTATGCTGCTATAAACCAGACTGAGCTGGAGAAAGTTCTTGAGAACATCTGGTTCCCTGAGCTGTGGTCAGACGAACTGGATGATAGGCACTGCACAGGGACTAACACCACCACCACTGGAGATGAGAAATAAGCACAGTTTTATTCTCTTACAGTTGGTTTCTTTCAACCTACAACTAAAATATCCACAAATTGCAAAGAAAGTGTCCTGCTGCACACACTGAAAACTAAGTCTTAACTCCAGGGGGGTTATTTCAGCTTGCAAAAGCACAATTTTAAGTTGTTTTTGGTTTAAAATTTGGTTGACTAGCTAGCTAAAATGGCTCCAGCTATTTAAAGTTACATGCAATATTTCAGCTAAAAAACTAAATTTTAGTTGTTGGAGAGCAAATTCTTGATTTTTTTAATTTCATTTTTTCTTTTTAGTCATTTCATTTTGCCACATATAAAAAGTAGTATCAAGCTGGTGCTGTGCTGAATTTTTGTAGGCTAGCTAAAAGGCAAAAGCTGCTGACATACGATCATTGCTGCTTCACACCTGCCACCGTATTGCATGGCTGTAAATATTTACATGCAATATTTCAGACTAGCAAGGTATATAAAGAAAACATAACATATTACAGATGGTAATTTTATTCTACAGACCAACATTTCCAGCCTGTTACCAGAATGTGATTGAATCAACACCTAACTGAGTCAAACTGTAGATCTGGTGACTTTGTCTCATTAAGGCACACAGCATTGATGTCCACCTTGTCCCTTGTTCTCACTACCTTCCCTTGCTCCTCTCATTCCTTACCACATGCCTGTTAGTCCTGTTAGTTTGTAATGAATGAAAACTCATTCACACAAGACCGGAATTGCTGTTGTCAAGTCTGGAATTTATAAACCTACTTGACGGCAGCATTCCCAGTGATGTCATGTCTGACATTCCCAGAGACTTTGCTGTAAGACTGCCGTGTCCTTGTTTATGTGCGTGATTTTGTGTTCCTCGGAGCATGTGCAAGGGTCATGGGAAAGACAGTCACCTATACTCGCTCACAGGCACACACACACTCACATACTGTACATTACAAAGACGTTCAGTGGAAGCACAGGGTCGTGTCTCCTCAGACAGAGGGGAAGTAGAGTAAATAAGCAGTCAGTGAATGGGGTCTTACTCTCACTAGCCTGCTCGTTTTCTCTCCTCTGGCCTTGTTTATCTCAGTAAATAGGCTCCCATCCTCTCCTGAGTCATGCTGCCTCAAGCAACAAGGAAACATGAGAGTGTTATAATGTGGCTGTGTGTACATATAGAGTTCTAGTAGCTCAGTGCTGATGTTGTTGTGTTCATGATCACAGAATGCAAAGATGGTTTGCTGAAATGTTTTATAAAGGACCTGATGCATCATGGTACCAAAATACCAAGTTCAGTCTTGGTGCATCTCTATACCGCGGAAGCATTTGTACCACCTTGTTCCCAGTGCAGTTTGGTAGATTGTGGGATTTTATTTTGAAGCAGTTTATTTTGAAAGACAAAATAAATAAATAAATCACAAAATAAGCTTTAAGCTTGAACGCCAAATCAGATGCCTTGTTAAAATCTTTCTTGCAGTTCAACTAAAGAGTAAACTTTATTACTGCCTGCCAGTCATCATTAGTGAGCGCAGTGGGGGTGTTTGTACAAAGATGTTTCAGATAAAATATGAGATGAAAAATGTCTCACTCATAATCATTCAGCTGTGCATTAGATCGATTTAGAAGCAGACAAAATGTGACTTTATATATCATTAGAAGTAATAGCATTGACCCTCAACTCAACCAGGTTTCTCTGTTATGGTCTGGCAGGAGCGGATCTTTCTGACAGTGTCCAACTACATCTTCACATCGATCTTTGTGGCTGAGATGGCTGTAAAGGTAAGAGGCTCTAGAGTTCCACTGATGCACACCACCGTTTTTGCAAATGACGGTGATTATTTTAGCCAGTGGTTACCTAGTACTAGAAAATATCTTGGTTCTTTAGCATGTATTGTAGCTTGCATCCTATGGGTTGTGTCTTCTTATGGTTATCCTTTTAAATATGAGCATTCATCCATGAAGTTATCACTGACTTCTGCCCGTAGTTACTCAGATGACATCAGCTCTCATACCACAAGGTATTTGGTAGCACAGAATGTTGCGGTATCATAAAAACACCGGTTGTTTTCCCCCAGTTTTTAATGAAACAAGATGGGACACATCTGTGTTCACTCAAAACATTAAATGTTTGCATAAAATGGTGAATCCAGACCCGGACTCCAAAACTGCTCAGACACAAGGCTGCAGAGAAAATATAAAGTTGGCCTGATACCTGCTCCTACTTGACACCCACAAAAAACACACACAAAAACCAGAGTTAAAAGGGAGGACAGGGAGAGGAAGGGGAGGAAGAGAATGTGAGATTGAGATTCAGACAGGGAACACACACACATACACTCAAGGCTGTTTCATAATGCTTAGCAGAGGATTGTCTCGCTGTAATTCAAACAGCCCGGCTTTGAATGTAAGTCCGTACAGACATGGGAGGGAGCGAGCAAAGGCAGAGGGGGAGGAAAGTTCAGGGCGTCACTCACTTAAAGCCGCTTTCTCTATTTTTGGTTCCAGGACAATTGCTGGACTCACAGTCCACACACACACACACATTGTACAGAGCACTATGACTTCTTCAGGTGTAGTGTTTGGTTATCAGCAAATGTCAAATCAAAACGTACCACTCTCACAATAACACCATGAAAAATGTGACATTGCAACTTTTTTCTCAATCAAAAATTGAAACCAGAAGTAAATGGTTAGGTTTAAGCACAGAAACCACACTACAAGGTCAGGGTTAAGAGACAGACTAGACACTTATGGTTAGGAAAAGGCCCTGGGGTTGGTTAAAACACTTTGAAACACTTAAAACTCAATGCTGGACATGAGCTCCGGTTGTTTGTTTGATCCGTCCATCCGCCACAGCCACCACTTGCTAGTGTTTTTAGTATTCTAAAGTTCCAAACTGTCTTGAAACAGCTTTCAAAGGACAGTACATGTTAGTTTCTGTCTACATGTTAGTTGGTGGCAGCAATGCATCTATTCCTTGTTGACAACCTCGATAAAAAACCATGAGGAATGGCATTTTGGTGCAATACATAAAATGTTGCCATGTCACAATTTTACAGCCATCACTGTAACACTACTACATTTTATACCGTCGACTAGCGTGGCTACTATACATTTTGCTGTGAGACTGGGCTGGAATAATTCTTTCAGCACTGGTTAAAGCACTTCTATAAAAACAGAAGGACCTTTTGCATAGTGTTACATTAATACATACAGTTGTTACATAATGGACAATTAAAACGTACTATGTATTCCTGAACTGTAGGTAGTAGAAGTACACAGTACTTCTACTACCTACAGGTTTTCAGGTCAAGTGTAATAACCTCAGAGTTGTAGGTATAATAGTAAAAGTACTTAAATAAGGGCACTTTGTTCCACTGCTGAATTCAGTTACACAACATGAAGCATCAGGAGAAGCCATCTGTCACTGAGGCCTGTCTTTGTTCATAAAGTTTCATGAGACACATTGTTCATATACAGTACACTATAGTCGCTGCTGTTTCACACTGACTAGCACCAGCTAATGTAATCAATCCTCCTTCCACATCCCTCTCTCATCTTCTTAGGTGCAATATGTGTTTGGAAATGCATAAAGCACAAATAATTGTCTTTGCCTGATTTAACAGGCTAAAACAACAAAGTCAGCCCATCCCTATTATTTTTAATTGCTTTACAGGCACAACCTATAGAATTAGAAATAAGCGTTTCTGATCTTTGTTGCCAAGCTCTGAGTAATCACTCGCTCTACAGAGTCAATAAGATGAGCTTATGGGACATTAAGCATCGACTCCCAATTAATATAACGATGCCTTCATAACAAACAATCCTGAAACCGCACAGATAGAAATAGATATTGAATTACTGATTTGTGTACCACTTCATGGTGCTTGTATTTTGGGTTAATATTGAATTTTAAATGCACCCAGGATAAATTTGTAGCTCAGCAGTTAACCCTGTTGCATTATCTGCTATGTCAGTAGCACACTCTACAGCTTCTGCTATGTCTTTATATGTGCCATACCTCCTTGTCCAGATTGTAGCAATGGGCTGGTGTTTCGGAGACCAGGCCTACCTGAGGAGCAGCTGGAACATACTGGATGGGATGTTGGTGATGATTTCTGTTATTGACATCCTGGTGTCTCTCATCTCCAACTCGGGGACCAAGATCCTGGGCATGCTAAGAGTGCTGAGGCTGCTGAGGACCCTGAGGCCACTGCGGTGAGTGGCACTCCCAGCAATGCCAAAACGCATAAACAAACAAACACTCAGAAGACAGTCAACCATAATAAATCATAAAATGAAGTCTTACCTTTTGTACAATAAGATCTCATACAAATTAGTACTTGGACATGTTTGGTGAGCAGTACTGAAATACCACTACCCACCCAACACAAATAGTGTATAAAAGCTTAAATCACTCAAGTTCCCCAAGTCATGGGATCATAAAAGTGCATGATGAATGTTTATTTTAGGAAGGAGGTGAAACAAACTGAGCTTTCTCTCAGCTTTGACACTATACCACCTTCTGGGGCCTTTGGGAAATGTGTGTGTAGGCATTTACTTTAGAGTGCATTCATGCATGTGTTATTGTCAGCATGTACACAATTGCACAGTTATGTTTATTTGAGCGGAAATAAGGCAGAAATCATCAATTTGGGGACTGTTGTGCTTATGTCTAAAAATGTGTGTGTGAAAGAAAGAGAGTGAGAGAAATGTGCATCTTTGCGTGAGATCAAATGGGCCTTACATGTGTGTGCAGTCTTTTCGCTTTCACTTCAGTGTGTGTGTTGGTGTGTGTACATGTTGAGCCATTTGAACGCATGTGGCTTCATGCTTTATTTGGCACGCAGCCGTGTGCTCGGTGCCTCATCTGGTGAAGGGGAGCCTCTCAAGCCTTTGCCCCCTATTGAATATTTATCACAGTTCTCATGAAAAGCACAAAAATCAAATATTCATTTTCCTTCTGCCAGATTAACCCACTAAACACCACCGAGCTTTCCTCTCTTATTCTTTGCTTTTTCAACTTTCACCTTTGAAGTGAGAGGGAAATCTTTGGCAGCTCCCAGCCTTCACAGTGCTACTTTCCTCTTTGAGTTCATACTGTAATGTTTGTGTGATGGTGGTTTTTTTATGTTTTTATGTGCTTGATATTCTTCTTGTGTGTATTTGCAACATACTCTCTCTTGCTACGTGCGTTTCTCTGTGTGCGTGTGTGTGTTTCCGTCACACCACAGACCTCATAAATTCCAGTCTATTACTACTCAGTTGGAGTTTCATTGTTTGCGCCATCAGTAATAGAAGTAATAATAACATTAAATTCACCAAGTTAATTGAGGTCTGGCAACATTGCTAGAGTCAGACAGCAAGAAACAGGAGCAGTCAGGTCATCATCATACATTCATCCTCCCCCACAAGGCGACGCCAAGCTCAGCGTAGCAGGGAGGGAGGAGTGACAAGTATCTTTCCCCTACAGGAGAGACTTGACTCAAGAGGCCAGTATACTCCACCAGAAATGTTTTTTGGATGGTAAAAAAAGCTTTGTGCGACCATTCCTGTAACTTAAAGACGATCCAACATTCACAGTCATTTCACTCTCTGATGGGCCAGCTATGTGGAGGTGAAATAGGAGCCAGGGTTTGAACTTCTCTCTCTAGCTCTTTGTTTTTTTTTGTTACATCCCTGTGACCTCTATGGGCTGTAGTAATTATGACAGAAAGTGAGAAAGTTTGTGTTAGGAGGAGGTTGGGGTTGGGTGGCTGGATAAGGAGAGAGGTGTTTGATTCTAATGTGAAACGCTGTGTTTTTTATTGATGAGTGTTTAGTCTTTTCCTTAATTAGTTAACAAAACCAGATAAACAGTTGCAAGTGAAATGCTAATGTGACATTAGAGAATGAACCTGTTGTCAAACAAGGGGCTTTCTAATTTGATTTGGTGCAACTGTGACAAACACTTGAAGAGAGTACCTGATTCAAATTGCTGCTGATTCTTCTGTCTCTAAGTCATTCTGCTGTCCTCTCGCCTGTAGTTAATCCCCAGAGGGCAGCAGGGTTGAGGCTGGATTAATGTCTTGAAGGTTTTAAAGTCAGATTAGAAAATATGCAGCAATTACGGGAGGAAATTGGACAAATTTAATGTGTGGGAGAAATATTACTGGGAGCAAAGGGCAACTATTTCTTTAGGGAGTGATGTTTTCAGTTTTTGAGAAAAATACAAAATGGCAGGGAGAGAAATAGGATTAATAAAACTGTGAAGACGGGCAGAGAGTGAGTGAGAGAAACAACAGAAGGCAGGAAAAGAAAGAGGGGGAAAAGGAAGGAAATGGAGCAGCTTGGCTGTCTTCTCCGCTGAGGCGGCATATGAGTTACAGGAAAGTAATACTATCAATTCATTTTTTAAGGTGGTTATTAACTTTCAATCCAAAAGGAGGAGCAGAGCATTAATGGCTATAGCATATTAAACTGTTAGTGTGCTGCTGTGGGTTTACTGGATGTCTTGGGTTTAGTGCGCTGCAGGTACTTAAGACCCTGTTGGAGATTTTTCAATCTGTTCAACACAGAGTGGAATTATTGCCTGGGTTTCCTTTAAAAGCCATACTTCTGTTTAAGATGTGAATAAATATACCACTGCCCATGGACCACACCATGGCCTGTCTCTATGTCAGCCCTGTGATAGACTAGCGACCTGTCCAGGGCATACCCTGCCTCTGGCCCAGAGTCAGCTGGGATTGGCTCCAGCCCCTCCGTGACTGTTTGCAGGATAAGCAGCATTGATGATGGATGGATGGACCATAGAACAGCATGTTAGACATGCTGTTCTACTGCAACACTAAACAACACAAACAGTCATCCAGCCATCCATATAAACTCTTCACAGAAAGGCCCTGGTCAGCCATGAGGTTCTAACCTGGAACCTTCTTGATGTGAGGTGACAGCGCTATGCACTATAACACCATGTCGTCCTACAGACAACCATACAGTGTCAGAAAGGTGGGGTCTCTTCAGGAAGATACCTCTGTTTTTTGTAGTAGGTGTACCATTTGTTAGGTTGTGACAAAAGAAGTGCAGCTATCGAAGGACAGAAGGATTAGCAAGAATGTGTTTCTGATATTTAGGCCTTAGTGTTAATGAGAAACCACTTCTCTCTCCCAAGTGGCCGTCACCATGTGCCAACACAGATGCAGATTCAGAAAGGTCATAAAATGCAGCAAAGCTAATGGCTGCTATGTTCTGTAGATGATGTCACCAGAATGATCTGGTCTAATTGTTTAAAACATTTAGCCTAGTTTAACTTCATTTAATGTGGACATTCAAGAAGATTTGAATACATTTGTTTCAAAAGGTTACACCAAGGTACACTTTGATGCATCTTTGTTTCGGCCTGTAACATTCTGCCATAGTGGTTTGTCATTCCTGGTTCCTTTGCTTAGCTTCACTTAAGGTGTTGATACACATTATGATTGAGCCATTAATGAATGTGATTATGGTGTGACAACTGAGCGAACCAGGTTGTACCAGGTCTGTTCCATTCTGGGTCAGACACTGGGCAGACAAAATCATATTTAATGTTTGATATATGAAGGTTCTAATACTAAGACTAATTATGTCCCAGTTGTTCTTATGAAGAATTTATTAAACATGGTTGATATTTTCACTGTTGGCAAAATGTCACTTGAGTGTTGGCCAAGTGAGATGTACTGATAAATAAACTGGTTTGATATGTTTCCCTCAGCTCCAGTTCCCTCTGTAGAATCTACAGTCTGCTTTGTCAGTGTGTTGTCTAGTGTATTTCCTCAGTTGGAAATTTTATGCTCCTTTCTAACTGTCAGACTAAATGATGTGCGCAGTACCATTATCTTCATTATTAGTGGTGTTCATTGCAAATCAGCTGCCCAAACTCCATTATTTTCTCTAAATAAAGAAGTCTGTTTGTGAAATGTCTTTGAAAAATTGTGTAATTAAAGCTAATCAAAAATAATTTGTAGTGGCTACACAATCATCCCAATATAGTGTATCTCTAGCACAGTTTTCTGTTTTATTAAGCAAAGCGTTTAAGCAATAAAGGTCAGAACACTTTATACCAAAAACTCTGAATTGTGCCTGTTAAAGCAGAGTCAGCTTTGTGATCCATAAAGCCTATGTTTGCTTCAGCTTGTTGTCACTCCAGTTCAACATGCTTTCACTGAGGGTTTAAATCATATACAAGCTCCTCTGTGTTTTCCCCTCTGGCAGCACAGTGCATGTGGGGTTCACACAGGCAGCATTGAAGGCACTGACTCAGGAATAATAATCAGTCAACAATCATTTATGTGCTCACAGGTTGAAATCCATGGTCTCTTGCCACTTAGGCAGTAGATGATGTCGACTGTAATGTAGGCGAAAACTTTGCACTACACTGTTTGTGTGTATTCTTGTATTTCTGCAAATAGGTGACTTTCTTTATGTGAATGTGTTTGTGTGTAGATGTCTTTTGCGGATTGTTTCTCGTTAAAGATAATAATGGTGGCTTTTACATTGCACAAGACAGGAGGGTTCTCTGGGCTGCCCTGGCATGTTTATGCATCTGTGTGTTTGACAGAATGATGCATTAGCTTTGTTTAATAGGGCACACACACACACACAAACACTTCAGCAGTCATTTGTCAACCCCACAACCTGAGCTGAGGGCCGGTCTCAGGGAAGGCCCAAAAGATAGTTACCCTCTGTCACCATGTGGCACTTTTATGTCACACAACACCACCTACACCTCGTTGACAATTCATCTGCAATCTAGAAATTCTGCTCCAGCTCCTCCTGTCCGCCACTGGGTGTAATTAATTGTCCCCCGCCGGACCCTCAGGCATCACTGCAGGTGGATTGATCTAAACAGATTTGTAGTGTGTGTGTGTGTGTGTGTCTGTGGGATCAGGGCTGGTCAACAGCTTTGTTTACTGGAAACCCCCCATGGTTGACCCCTGTCAGCTCAGCCTCTGAGCTCATCCGTCACTTAATGATGATGTAATTATTCCAAGGCTTCCATTGGCTAATTTATGTGCTTGCTTGCTAGTGTGTACATTTTTTGTCCCTTGTTTCTGACAGCGTTGACAGTGGCCTGTTGGTCTTCAGTTCTTGTTACCATTGCTAACTCTGAGAGACGAGCCAGTCCAAGTAACTTCAAAACAGTGCTGATTTATTCAAAGGATCACAGGTAAAATTAACATTACACGCTCAGGTATCTTGCACCTCCAAACTGCTCCCAGGCAGATGTAAGATGAAAGACCCTGAACCCACCAGGCCTATACATTATATCCCCTCGGTTGGGCTAGCCCCATACTACACAGAAATGTCAACCGAGACGTCTCTGTTGCCAGCTTTGCAGCTGGTCATAGCAGTAGTCAAAACATGAAGTAAATCAATGTGTGTGTGTCTGTTGGTTAAGTGGTGTGTAGCTAAAAACATTCTCACAGACTTCTAGTAACATGTCGTGACTTAAACATAAGAACATATTATGGCTAAGGCTACAGTTATACATGTCATAATAATAATATTGAACACCCTGTCTGCTGACAGTCATCCACTCTTCTCTCTAGTTATCCTTGACCAGATGTACCCTGTAGAAACTCATAAGCATGCCTAAGCATTTAACAGTCTAACTAGACATCCTCTCTCCACTAAACATTTCTAATACATAAAGTATCTATCCAATTTCTATCTGACTACAAATACCTAACAGGCCAATTAACTCAGCATGTAATTTCCATTCTTTAAGTTATATGTGTGACAGCTAAATTCACTAGCTTCCCTCATGTAGCCGGCGGGTACAGGAGCAGTGAGTGGCAAAGTTTGATAGTCAAAGAGGAAGGACGGCTGTAGGTTGGAAGAAATTTACACAGGAAGGTGAAGCAAGAAAGAAAGTTGAGACAAAAAAGCAAGAAAACAGCAGCTGCTTCATTTTTTGTTCCCTGTGTATCCCTGCAACACAACAGCCCTCCTCTCCTCCCTCGATTCTCTATTTCTATCTCCCAGCATCGCTTAATTACACCCAGTGTTTGCACTGTGGGAACATGCCTGACACTTACTGCCCTACTTGTTGTTCTCTTTCCTCAGTCTGAGGGATATGCTGGTGGAGTAGGGAGATGGGTGGTGCATGTGTGCAGGTGTTGTGCACGGGGGCTACTTCCTTCCCACTTCTTTGTATAGCACACAAAACAAGGACATGCTGTGAGCTGCTGGGAAATTATTTAGAGCGATAGATTAGAAGAAACAAGTTCTAACATTGTCTCCCTCTGGCTCTGTCCATCCAGCTCCTCCTCATCCGCCTTTTCATGTCATGTTCAAATAGACATTATAGCAGTGGGTGTCCTTCACATTCTGCATCGTCAGAGTGTATTGACTCATAATAGCGACCTCATCTCTCTGTCGTTTCTTTCCTTAATAAGCCTTTTCACTTCAGCATATTTGTCAGAGTGGAGCTCAAAAGGAGAACGTGATGTTAAGAGACAGAGAGGTTATGTGGGTTTTCATATCCAAAGCAGCAATGTGTACATTAGTGTGATGTAAGGGACTGAGCTGGACATTTCTGTCTTTGATGGACTGTTTTCCCCAACAACTTGCACCTTTTCTTTTGTTTACCACATTTATGGTTTTTGATTACTTCTCAAGCTACATTTGCTTCTTCCTGTAAATTTTCTTACTTCATAAGCTACTGAGTGAGGATAAGCACTTGGATGAAATAGCAGCAGGTTAGCTGTGTTGAAGTTTAAAAAAATGAAAGGCAGTACATTTGAAACATAAGTACAACTAAAAAAAGATTTTGTATTTCTATAAGTGGTGTAAAATTGTGGAATAAGCTAAGGGAGGACTTAAAATATTGTACTAGCATAGAACAGTTTAAATATAAATACAAAAGGGTTTGTAATGCAAGATATATGAATGAGGAGGCGTGATGGCGGATTAGACTGGAGTATTGTTGGTGTGGTGTATGAAGATAATATTTTATGTATAGACACTGAATATAAACTTGTGACACCGGAGAAAGTTCCAGACATTTGTGCTGCCTTTACACTGGCTGTGGTTTTCTGAATTTTTTCAAATTCAACCAAAAAACAGAGACAGTCCTGAAGAAATGTCTCACAGTGTTTAAGTATAGCTTCTGTTTTGTGTTTTTGTAAAGTTGGCTTGACGCGCGGTGATAGGATTGATATATGGGGGTTGTTGGGGACTTGCACTGCTGTGGGTCTGAGTGTCCGGTGTTGGGCTAATGGTACCACGGTCTAAGAAAGGGGGTAGGACTAGATAAGTGTATACTTCTTCCTACTCCCTTTCAAGCATGTACTATTGGAATGTTGTGATGTCTTATGTGTATTGGTTGAAATGTCGAATCAATTTTGTTTTTCACAATATCAATTTTCTTAGTTTTACATGCTTGGAAGAAACTTAAAAAAAAAAAAAACATTACCATACATGGCATTTGGCTGTGAAAAACACATTCCTCGACCCTTTAATGTACACCTTGAACTGCATTTCTAGTTCATTAAGGTGTCATTACACTTTATATGTATTATTGCCTAGAAAATGAGCCAAATCTTCTCATAATTGACAAAAATTGGAGTTAGATCCTTGTATTTACAAAGAAATTCAATGTGAACAAGTTCTCATATGAGGATGCACTACCAGTCAATGGTTTGGACACAACTTACCATTTCAACCAATGGGAGAGTGGGTACAAACTTGTGACAGGTAGTGTAACAACACTAATCCTAAAAGGAGCCACATGCAGATGCAGTTCTTGAATTCTGACTAAAGGTCATAGACAGTACTGCATACCAGCCTGGTTTTCAGTAGGATACCAAGAGAGGCAGTGAGGTGAAAAGGGAGGAGGTGTAGCCATATGCTCATTATTCTCTTATTAGGGCTATTGATCAGTGGACTTGGCTCCTTATTAGCTCATGTCTCTTTATGCACTATTGACGCTTACTTCATTCAACTGTGTGCTCAGGGAACAAATGCAATGCAGATAAAGACTGATTAGATGATTACCTCGAAAGCAATGTTGCATTGTCCCATTGTTGTTTTTTCCTCTCTTGTTCATGTTCTCCTTATCACATCATATTGACTTTGGTGTGTGTGTGAAAGTTGTATTTGCATGCTCATGCATAAACATCTCTATTTCCTGTGTAAAAGCCCATGTAGTGCATGTGTCTATTGAGAGGCTCAGCTGCAGTGCAGAGCCATGCTGGCACTAATTAAACATCCTCATCAGTCCATTGGCTTAATTAGGTGTGTCTGTTTTCCTAAGTGAAAAAAAAGCAGAAAGAGGGAAAGTGAAGACTTTTTTAAAGACAAGAAGCGGGTGAAAAAGAAGTTAAACTGTATGTGAGTTAACAAGTGTTTTGGTCCTGAAATGTGTTCACATCAGTCAAGATTCTTCCCAACTGCAATAAACAACAAATATAAAAAAAGAGCATATTGTAAGTATGTGTGCACAAACAGGGTGAGGGCCTAGAGGGATGTGAGGAGGTTAGAGGTTGGAACACTGCTCCATCTGGTCTGAGCTGTACTATAAGTGGCCTAAGATGCCATGCAAACACATATACGCACACAGTGCACTAATATGCTATTACTGTACATGCTGTATTCTAGCGTGATCAGCAGAGCGCCAGGGCTGAAGCTAGTGGTGGAGACCCTGATGTCGTCACTGAAGCCCATCGGCAACATTGTGGTCATCTGCTGCGCCTTTTTCATTATCTTTGGAATCCTGGGAGTCCAGGTGAGAGGGGACGTGAGGAGAGTCAGGATACAGACAGAGATCTCCTGAGCTTCACTGTAATATAAAGGGCATGTCTGTGTGTTCTTTCTCCAGCTCTTCAAGGGGAAGTTCTTCGTTTGTCAAGGGGAGGATGCAAAGAACATGACTAACAAGTCAGACTGTTTGCAGGCCAACTACAAATGGGTCAGGCACAAGTACAACTTTGACAACCTGGGACAGGTACAACCTCAAAAATGCCAAGATTTCTGGGAAAAAAACGAATTATCTGATGAACTACTTGAATGTGATGTTCACAAGCTTTGTCTGTATAGAATTTATGTATATTTCTTCCTTTGCTTTTTCTCAGGCCTTGATGTCTCTGTTTGTTCTGGCGTCAAAAGACGGCTGGGTGGACATTATGTATGATGGACTGGATGCTGTAGGAGTTGACCAACAGGTCAGTCTGTGCACAGGAATACACATGTACACAGATGTAAAATAAGTACAGGGTACATGTCACAGCATTTGGCTGTAGTTGAATCATTTGGGACAATCCACACAAAAATATCTGCTGATATTCTCTGTTTCCAGTCATTTATAAGTTAGAATTGAATATGCACATGGAGTAAAAAGGCTTTTGAACATCTATAAAATCATCTCTATCCTGTTTTCAGCCAATAATGAACTACAACCCATGGATGCTCCTGTACTTCATCTCCTTTTTGCTGATCGTGGCCTTCTTCGTGCTCAACATGTTCGTGGGTGTTGTGGTGGAGAACTTCCATAAGTGTCGACGCCACCAGGAGGCCGAGGAAGCCAAGCGCAGGGAGGAGAAAAGATTGAAACGCATGGAGAAAAAGAGACGGAGTAAGGAGAAGGAGCTGGCTGGTCGGTAGTCTTTCCACATCTTTCTGAGTCCTGCTTGATTTGAGCCTGAGCCTTGTTTTTCTTTTTTCTTATTAATTTGGTTTGGCCAAATTGAAAGAATGCAATTAGTGAGCTAGTACCAACAATAGTTGCTACGCTCATCCTCTCTTAGCCAGAGGGTGATTCTGGCTTGTTTTTGTTGCAGTCTGGTGGTCACCTACTTTGGCTCTGCAGACTCTGCTACAAACTGTGGAGGCTCTTCTTTACCTCCTGCAGCAAATTGATCAAGCTGGATGTTAAGAAAAGCTTCTATAATCAGCCAGTTTGCAGAGTTAGGACAGCTGACTGCCGGTGTTAGCCCCCTCCCTTTCCCTCCTCTCTTACCTTGCCTTGTTTACCGTAGACGTTGTGCTTGGGATGGCCCCTTGGAGCATGCCCAGTGCGTGCTGACAGATGGAACTTGCATGGTGGTGGCTATAGAGAGCTAGAGGGAGGGGGAGTTGTTGATCATTTAATGGCCCTGATCAAAAAGACGATGACTCCCGCTCCCTTCCCCTCTTCTGCGTATGGTTTAGTACAGCCGCTGGGGCAGGGAGATACCACAATGTGGAAGATAAGTAGAACGAGTTTTCATGTAAATAAGAGATGAAATTTGTAGAAGTTAGGGATAATTCCCTCCCTGGACACCCTCCCCTACGGCTGTATAGGAGTTGGTGACAAACTGCTTGGTTTGGTTTTTATTATTTCCACTGCCTCCTATGACTAAAACACAAGCATTAGCATCTACTAGCATAAACCTTGTACTTACAGTTCTCTATCAACTTATTCCTAAGGCAGCTGTACAAGGAGCAGTGGACGCTATTCATTTATTAGAGCTGTAATAAAATTCCCTTTGATTTCCTACTCTATGATCATTTTATTTGATGACTGGGATGCTTCTGTCAAACTCTTGAGAAATACAGATGGACATCGATCTTCTTTTTTCAGGAGGCGTCTGCCAAGGGTATCTGACCAATCAAGAAACTCTCCCAGACCCCTGTACACTCTTACACATGTTACACTTTATACTTCAAGAGGTCCTTCCCTTTTTCTTGAACTCACATAAGACTTTTCATATTTCTAAGTTTGTTTTCCCTGTTTTTGATATTTCTTTTCTTGACTTTTGGTTGTAAAGTGTCTTCCTTTTCCTGGCCTAGTATTTTTTGGCCAAGAAACCTTTTTAATGCACAATGTTGTTTAGGGTAAATAAAAAGGCAAGGTTGCTCAATAAAGAGATAGCTTACTGGTGCAACTCAGTAGACTACAGTTCTTAAGGTGGTTGGTTTGCGAAGATTGTTTTGAGAGTCAAAAGGCTTCTTGATCATTATAAAGCAAAAAGTGAAAGTGTTAATTCATGGAACTGGACTCAGAATCTCTGGAAAGACAAAACGTAGGAACAAAAACCAGCTTAATCTTTCATCGCTTCCTTCTGACCTTACTCCATCCCTCTTTCCC